GAATTGTAATGCGGCAGCCATTTATGAAAGTGGTCTACTGAGTCAAACAACCTGACGTCACAGGTAAAGTTCACGTGACCTTTTGGCCGCGCGTTCGAGGGGACAAATTTCAAGCCAACTTAGCGCGTAGTTTAAACGAAAACTATGTATTTATAATTATTTTCAACGATTTTTAACTCTCGAACCGTTTGTTATATATATCGAACTAGCAGAAAACAAAAAAAAAAATTTCATGTCATATACACTTTAAGCCATCAGTACGCACTAATTATGGTACGTCTACATTTAAATTCTCTCCAATAAAAATCTGGGAATCTATACCACCTGAATTTAAACGTTTTCCATACATGCTATTCAAAAAGCGGTATAAAAGATTCTTATTGAGTACTCGGCAAAACTGACCGTAGTTTAACTGTTAGCTATAAAAGATAATACTTCACAAAATTCAGTTTTCCTTTTATTCTAATTTGCATTTATGTATGTCTTCCTTCTTTTACAATAACATTATCGTCTTTAACGTAACTATTAATTTCAATTATACTTAACAGGCGGCCAACCCCAACATCTACACATGACAGTGACCAACTCGAAAGATCATTGGCTACCTTGGTGACTGTACACGATTACAATCTTTCTTCTGTTAATTTCTGTTTGTATTTTTCTATATCACTGTTAATCATGATATTTTAAGTTATTTTTTTCTGTAAACAGTGTGAAATAATAAAAACTTGATAAACAAATTGACACCTGTGCTTATGATAACCTTTAAAAATTGCGTCGCACACAAATGGGGTTGATCGAACTGTAATCGATGTACTGGATTTTACCAATGATTCAGGTTAAGTGAAGAGTAGTCGAATTAAGGTGGCTCGTACTAGTTTCCGCGCGGGGGAGTTGGTCACTCTCAGGCGTCACGCGCGAGAAAAACGCGCGAAGGAAGCGCGAGATTTAAAAGGCGAAAAATTCAAAACAAATATGGCGGCGCGAGGCTTTTTTGGGTCTACGCAACTTTTGTCTTATTTTGTAAGAAGTTTGCCCACCAGCGTGTACTTGATGTATTCAACGACCACTGCGTATGCAGGAGACAGAAAGGAAAATAAAGAGGACGATTCTCGGCGACATAAAGTTTGCTTCGCATCGAAACGAAAAATTCAATCGATACGAAATCTCGCGACAGCAAAAGAAGAGAGAACTCAAGTGAAAGAAAATCTACCTGAAGAAGAAAAAGACTGCGAACCTCCAAGGAAAATAAAAACGAGGTCACAACAGGTAAGTTCTTGTAGGAGTCTTTGGAAATGTTTTTCTCAAAAAGAAAAACAAAGAGACAAACAAAGCAAGTCTGTAAAAATAATATTTCTTTTTATAAATCTCATATGAATATATCTAAATGTTTGTCTCTGGTATTGTCGTCTAAGTGACAATACGTTCCCAACCATAATGTGGGTAAAATAATTTTTAGATAAAATAAAATATTTTAAAATATTACAAGTATTGTTTAAGCAGTGCAGGAAACTTTTTTTTAACAATTGAATATAGGCATATAGGCTGGCTCAAATATCATTTCTCTCGCTGGTCAAATTTCAGAGTACAATATCTTACACCTGTCATCTTGAAGTTCCACTTTCTTAAAAAAAAAGGTTTTTGCTTTCCTCTAACTATTTGCTTCTGTGCATAAATAAATGACTTTAATCACTAGAAGTCTTATTGCACCAACTGGTCCATCATCCCTTGTAAACATTATGGAAGAAAAACAAAGTGGTCTCAGTAGTATGTTCAACATAAAATGCAGCTTCTGTGGTTACCTAAATGAAGTAAAATCTTCTACTGAACGCAGAGCTGGTTGCCGTGGTCCTCTTGTTAGTGATGTCAACACAAGGGCAGTATTGAGATCCCTTCATGCTGGCATGGGGAATACCCACCTAAATAATTTACTCTCCACAATGAATGTACCAACAATGAATCATAAACTGTTTAAAAGAAGAGAAAGAGAAGTTGGACATGCTCTAGAGATGGTTGCTACAGAAAGCTGTAAATTTAATTTAAATTTAGAAAAAAAATTGCTTAGAAATCTTCTAGCCCATCTGCAGACAGTCTCCATGGAGTAGCTGTCTCTTATGATATGGGTTGGCAAAAAAGGGGAAGGGGACACAACTCTGCAACTGGTCATGGGGCTGCCATGGGTCTTGCTACTGGAAAAGTTGTGAGTTACTCCACAAGATGCAAGATGTGTCGAGTATGTAGCCATGATAAATTAACTGGAAAAGAAAAAAAGCATGATTGTCGAAAAAATCACAATGGATCATCAAAATCAATGGAAAGGGATGTTGCCTGTGAACTG